CCTCAGCCCCCGCCGCCGCCCGCCTCCCCTCAGGGCGGGCAGCGCCGGCGGCCCGCTCTCCTCTCCGCCGCCTTACCTGACAGGCAAGTGATACTCTTGGTCATGGTCATGTGAAAATATTTTCGAGGTATCCTTTAACAGCCTTTAAATATTGAAGCCTAAAAACAATATTTGCTGTTTTACCTTTGAAGCTTTAACAAAAGCTTTGTTTTAGCATTTACCTCGGTGTGCAATAAGAGTTAATAATCAAATCCGTCCCAACCCCCACAAATGTTAAACAAAAAGATAAAAGAAATGCAAATAGCTATTGTCATGGAAAGTTAAAGTACCTGTCTGTATTTTTAAGTGAAAACTATTATCTCTATCAATCAAAATTTAAGAATACAATAGCACTAATCACACAAGGTGCTTTGACTGAGGTACTTTTCCTCATAAAAAGTTTTTTTTTTTTTTTTAACTGGTGCATAAAAGTAATACACTTACAATTAGATGTGGTATTTGTAATTTTGTTATTAAAAACCCTCGGCAGTCTTATTGTTAATAAATGCCTCTGAGTCTGTAGGCTGATTTGTACCCAAGAAGACCAAAGTCCCTACATATTTTAATAAGGTTGATGAAATTTTATTCAGATTCTCACACTTTCCAACATGTGGTGGAACAGCACACTCTTCTGTTTGAGAGGAGTTACTCAAACGAAGGAAATAGTTAATTGGTAACCAAAACTACTACTTCTGGCCTCGCTGCACATTTTCCACATTTCTCCAAACGCTGTCTGTACGACAACCGTCTGCTTTGAAGACGTGCCCTTTGTCATCTTTTCTTTAATTTTTGATACCAATTCCCCCTCACCGGACTCTGGCATTCTCCGAATATAGCGTACACTACATACACCGTACATACGTTGTACAGGCACACCGCACGGATTTTTCTCAAAAGTCATTTTTTTTAAAAAAACTAATTTGTCCAGACTGAATCAGAAAGCGAGCTGTGCAGTTAATAAGTGCAAGAGCGAGCGACGGCAATTACGCCTATGCTAAAGGAAAAGAGCCTGAGATTAAAACACCTATAAGTAAATAGTGAAGCCAGGATGCCATTATGCAAACTCTGCGCTCAGGGAGGGATGTCTCCCACACCGAGGAGCAATAGGACTGTCATTTTTTCCCCCTGCAATATCAGGTTTCCTACTCTACAGTTCTGGTACTCTGCATCATGGCTAACATCTCTAGTGTGCTATTAATATCAATGAAGAGACGATTCAATTTCCACATAAGAAAAACCTTCCTATTACAGCGCAGACATTCTAGTGAGGACCCTTGCGAAGGAAACAATAAAGACCAGAGGGTTGGGGTTGTTCCCCCCCCCTTCTTTTTTTTTTTTTCCTTGCTGCTGCTTTAGCAGTTCTGCGCTGCACACTGTTTGAAAGCTTTTAGCTAACAATGGAAGCATTATCTTCAGGATAGTTACAAAACAGGATTTGTTAGTACAAAGAATAATAACACCGAACTCTTCCCACCCCGCTCCCCACCCCCAAATACCTGCCTATTGCAATACGGCATTTAGTACTTTATTTAAAAGTATATTCCAGAAACACCTGTATTCTTGATCTAATTCCCTGCAACGAACTCCCTCAGCAGACCACGTTTGCTTAAGGAGGTTTGGACAATTAAAAACAAACAAACAAACATTTTTTTTTTTGCGCTTATAAAACGGAATAGAAACAAAAGTATCTTATTCTACCGGAGAGAAAACTTACCCATTAATGAGGAAGAAAAAGGCTTAGAGCTGTACAGTAATTCCCAACCAACTGCAGAAAAGTTGAGAGTTTGAAAACACTAAAGCACTTTTGACTATCCAGCCTTTCTGTGCTTCAACACTGGCTGCAGTGTAAGGAAGGACTGAAGGTATGTGGTCTAAACACAACAAAAGCCACTGCCTTACTCTAGATTAAATATGCAGGAAGAGGCCCCTTTGCATAAACACAAACACTCAGCAAATGAGTAACTGGCTCAAATCAGACGCCTGCTGTGCATTCTACCTGTCCTGATCTCTGACAAGCTACACAGCTTGTTTAAGCGGATAGGAGCTACAAAATCAAATCAAATCATAGCGCTAAACGCTGGGCTCGTGTAATAGTAAATAACAACAGCACCAACAACTCGACGCCAAACGTTCATTTCTAATCTAAGCATGGCTCTGGCAAAGAGCTGAATCGTGTGCTATGCCCGCTTTGGCTCAGCCACCCATCTCGCCAGAGCAAAAGAAACACAACCAAACACCACCTGTAAAATTCATTTTCATTAACTGTACTGAAATCCAATACATTCCTGGCCCGGTCTTTTCTTAATGAGGATTTAAAATTAATACAGAGACTTCTGGTTGGGTTGACAGATTAAATGTGAATTTGCTTGTACTGTCCCTGTTTTGTTTACTATATAAAAGACATTCCACACACAGACCTATTTTAGCTGTTATGAGTCACTGCATAATGCACACCTATTTAGTAGTTTATTTGGGGAAAAGGAAGAAATTTCTGAAGTTTCCCTTAAAAATGTTATTTTCAAAATACTGCTCTCATAAACCAACCCCTCCAAACTATATTTACTTCAAAAACCAACTAAATTAGAGACTGTGATAACCACCAAACACCTCTAAGCATTTATTATTATAATCGAATATACATAATTATATACTGTGATTTACTCTTGCTTCTAGAGAAATAAATTATTTTTCAGTCTCGTTTATCCTTCCATTCCAGAAATAAAATGAAGCAGCACAGTTTTAAAGCAATTGGAATTCACCAGTGTCCCTTCCTAACTTAAGGAGTCAAATCACATTGACCTCTTATTGTGAGTCCTAGCTACATGTTGGTTTTAGTAATTTAATTATTTTTTAATAACTTGCAGTATTAAATGATTGCCATTGAAACACAAATAAGATTATACTCCTCTGCCGTACTCTCCTGCGCTCCAGACTACAGCGTAACGTGGACGACACGACTGCGTCCAGCACCGAAATTTCATTCTGAAAGAGCACTTACACGCAGACAGACACAGGAAGATTCAGGCTTTAAAAGATGCAACACATATTTACTGGATTCTCAAGCATGTGCCACAGATTATTTCAAAGGATACTGGATATAACTCACAGTTGTAATGTGGATCAAGCGCGTTCAGTTCCACTGAGCACTCATACAGTATGGAGGAGTTTTTACTTTTTCTTGGATAAACTCACCACGTTAAAAGCACAATAAAACTGCTAACGTGAGCTAGTCAAGCCTAACCGGATAAAAATCCTCCACAAAAGAATCCTGCAAGAAATTTTAGAGCCCCTGTATCATTCACTATTTTTGCATTGAAATGACCTTCCAAATAAGGTGTCAGATAATACGGTTCACATAGACGATAGCGATCTAACCTTGATGCAAATAAACCATAGTACAAAATTTAATCAGTATATCACTGTGTAAAAGCCTTTGTCCATCCCAATGGAGCTTCTAATGACTGTTTTGGCAGTTCTGGCTGGTAGTTATGCCTCCCTGCTCATATATATCTCATACTGGTTGAGCAAGCTAATGGAACGGCTGTTAGTGGAATCCAATATTAATACCCCGCATCGTGCAAAACTGGATGCAACTGAATATATTATACAATTACAGGTAGTATCTAATTCCATAGGTATTAGATACTGGGCTCTAAATTAATATTTTACTAGAGAAAGTGAAATAAATACTACATTTCAGGTAAGATATCTATGAACTCTGGATCTGCCAGCCTTCCTGCTGTAAGCCTACTCTACACTCATACAGAACAGACATAGGACCCTGACAAAAATTGGCAGGCAAGCTTTAGATGCTGAGTGACACATACTGATGCACAGAGTCAAAGATGTCATCTTCATGCAAGCTCCACTAGTTATGAGCTTGAGAGAAAAAAGAAACAAAAAAAACCCCAAAATAAAACAAAAAAAAAGGGGGGGGAGAGGAGGGGTGAGAGTGGAGCGAGACCTCCAGAAAATAAACAGGGTGTACAGTTTCAAAGGCTACAGACACAGACATTTCATTGTTCAAGCCAATTATCAGTGGAAAATAATAACAACAGATGGATTCAGAGTCACTGACTTTTCATATGCACTTCATCTCTGCACAACAGATGATGAAATGCGAGAGCTATCTCGGAAAGGCAAAACATCTTTCAGTAAAAGAACTCTATACTCCAGATGGGGACCTTCTAAGGCAGCTGATTATCTTCTTATAATGTTGTAAGATAGACTTACTAAAACATTTCAAGAACTGATCAGATAGGATGAGCACAATGGCATCATTATGAGGAGTAAGCTGCTTCGGCCTCAGACTTGTGACTAAACTAGTCAAGAGATTTCAATAGGGTCAGAGCTGCCCATTCCCCTTTTTCGCAGCAAGTACTGGTTCCAAAAAAACGCCCCGTAGCTGCTGCCCGCAGCCTGGGCACAACACGATGGGTGGCTTTGCCTGGAGAGGGGATGCAGGCGTGAGGCCACCAAGTCAGCGGCTGCATCAGTTGGTCCCCAATAAAAGCCCTGCCGCCACCAGCGAGGTGAGCTCCCCTCACCTTCTGCAAGCACACCGTTTCACACGGGGACAAAGGCAGAGGACAAAACATATTTATGACTGTTTCCACTCTAATTGCTAGATGTAGAAGGACCTCGTCATCCAGGGGCCTACAGCGATGCAAATGTAACCTCAGCTGAGTCAATGGAGTTACACCCGCGAAAACTGGTGAGGCACAAATAAGACAAATTCTTTCATACAAAACCTTTACAAAACCTCATCTTTTTATGGGAAATAAAAATTTGCTTTCAAAGGGAAATAACAAATACGTGTAAATTTTGGTGGTTCCGGTGATAAGCAGTTCCACCAAATGTCACAAACACCCAGCGAAGAACCACCTACCCAGCACAACCTTCTCCCACTCAACCTGAATACCACAAAGTATGTTTTTGATCACATGAATCAGGTATACCACAATTTCAAAACTTTAAAAAAAAAAAAAAAAAAGGTAGTGGAAAAATTAGCTCATTAATCTTTAAGACAACATTTCTTTAATGGAAGAATACTACATAAGTAGTGCATTAAAACGAACTGGTTGCCATTTCCACAGTTTCTTCTCCAAAACACTGCAAG